AATAAAATATATAATAAATTAAAGCCTAAAACAGAGCGAGTTTATTTAAATCAACTCTTCATTTAATTTCAGCTCAAATTCATTTATAGCGATTCACTCATAAAAATATTAGATATTAATGGAGCTCTGCTTGAAGCTCGGGAAATGAATTTTTTTTGTATATATGTATGTATAGAATAATTGTATGCATATAATTGTAGATAATAATTCAGCAATTGTTATAACTCAAAGCTAAATGAGTCTATTTAAATTAATTTATTAGTTAATTTCAGTTTAAATTGAAACGATATTATTCGCAATTAAAAAAGCTCAGCTTGCAGTAAATACGTTAAGTCAACATGTGTATAACCCGTATTCAGTTGAAAATGGGCTTGATCAAGACTTGCTACATTTTATATCATTGCCTGCTTATCGATAATAATCGATATTTCAATTTGGCATTGTTAGCTTCATGATTTCTTAATCTAGGAATCCCTAAAACAGAATCAGCGCAATATTCAGAGTACTGCCTAGTTGGATACACCCGACTACCCCACTCTTTAATTATTCAGTTATTCTTTAAGATGTGATTGCAAATTGTACCGTTAGATTTTTAGTAGAGAAGAGTAACTTAGAGTCCAGGCTAAGCCAGCAAAAGAAAACGTATTAAGCTGTTCCATAGCCTACTTCTGCTTCTGCCTAGACAACTCATGTATACTATACTATTTATATATTATATATACTTGTATTATTTGTGTATGTATTTATAGCCCAAGCTAATGTATTTCGACTCTCTGTTTGTAGTTCACCTGTGTTGGATTTGTTAATTGAGCATATCAGCAATCAAAAAATTGAACACAATTTTAGCTTGTTTTTAGCATTTAATTGCTTTGATTTAATTAGGGCTTAGCACGGATGACAATTAGTTGGCGGCCTTGCCCAAATACTGATTGCAGCAGCTGCAATAATGATAGAGGCTGCGGCAGCTCTTGAGGCAATATGGCAAGGGAACCAAGCAAATCAGGCTGGAAAGAAGAAGAGAGAGCAAGGAAAATATATATGAGATATATGTAAATATATAGTATGGGTATATCATATATCAACTAACTCACCCCGTTACGCAGAGCACGAGTGCAATAAGATGCGTGTTTTTATTGGAGCGCAGCTCCAGGCGCGTTTGCATCACGTTGTGGCAACTGGGGCACGTCATGCGCTGCGGCTCGGGCCCCAGTGGCGTGGCGCCTGGTGGATATTGATAAGAGTTTCACCTGGTACACCTGAATATTCATCACTTACCTGCTGCATTCACCAACAGCACTGTGGGCGGAGCAGCAGCAGGAGGAGCAGTAGCGGCAGCAGGAGGAGCACTGCACACTGCACTTGCTGCACCTGGAGCACTTGCCATATAGCTAAGGCCCAGCGGCTTCAGATCCATCTCCATGCTAAACTCTTTGATGAGCATCGCAAGGCCCTCAGCGGCCTTTTATAGCCAAGCACTTGGCACTTGGCATACGCTGCGTATGCGCAATTAATGCCTAACGTCGACCCATTCAGAAATAATTCACACATTATTATTCGTCATTTGTTTATTTGGCAAAAAGGCGTAAAACAGTTAATCAACAAAATGGGAAATTCTATTCAACTAAATTCAGGCTAAGTGCAGAGTTCTACGCATTAAACGCCGTGGGGCTGAACAGTTATGATTGGCTATAAGTGGCTTGTGGGCGTGGTTACATAAGTTTTATAAAAATACAATTTATTTTATCTAAAAAAATCTATATACTCTTGAACAAATTTTCTACAGTTTTTTGCGCTTTTTTTTCAATAAAAATCTCACACACAATTTAATTACAATATTTGTTTTAGAAACCTATTTTTTAAAGATTTTTTTTTTTTTATTTTAATTTAATTTTGTAAAATTTTTATTTGTGACGTTTTTGTATTCTATTTTTTTTTTTTTTTTTTTTCTATTAGAGAGGCCCTTGAAAATAAAATCAGGGCATGATTGATATGTTTTACAATAAAATAGTCAATGAATATTTTTTGGAAACATTTGTTTTAGTGTGTTTTTTATGCCAAGGAATTTTTGAAAATGGGAAATTGAATTTTAAATTTTATTAAATCTGTAAAACATTTTTAAATTTTTCAAACATTTTTAAATGTGTAAAACATTTTATAGTTTTTTTTTTTTTTTTTTTTTTTTTTTTTTTAATTCTGAGACTGCTTTTGTATCAATTCTAAAATTTAAAAAAAATTGTAAAATTTAATTATATCATTAAATTATTTTTATGGAATTCTGTAGT